TTCCATCTGCAGTCCGAAGTCTTCCTCCCTGATTTTTACCCTGATCCGAAATCACCGGAAGACAGGCTTATGCACACGTTAGACGTGAAGCGGGCCCTCCTCTTCTACCTGAATAGGACACGCCCCACGAGGCAAACCCCTAAGCTGTTTGTCTCATACGCTGCACCCCGTGTGGGATAGGTCTGATAGAACTGTGTTACCTACTGGCGAAACAGCCGTTGCCAGGCCCGGTACGGGCTCATTCCACCAGGGCTGTCGCTACATCCACTGCGTTCCTGAAGGGAGTACAGCTGCAAGACATTTGCAGAGCCGCAACCTGGGCCACGCCTAATACCTTCATCAGGCACTACGCCTTAGACGTCCGCCAGTCCACCAGTGACAGTCTGGGACGTCAGGTTTTGGCCTCGGCTAAGCAGTAAACACCTGACAGCACCCACCTCCAGGTTGGCTACTGCTCGCTAATCTCCCATTGGTGTGAAGCACAGAGACCACGAAGAAGATAAACAGGTTGCTTACCAGTAACTGGTGATCTTCGAGTGATCATCTGTGCATTCACACCACCCGCCCTCCTGCCCCGCTGCTGTCTTCTTCTACGTGATTTGTTAGGAGATTGATGCGCGGCGGTTGGTAGGAACTGGCGGGGTGTGCGCGCCCGCCCTTCTTGATTGATGCGCGGCGGTTGGTAGGAACTGGCGGGATGTCCGTGCCTGCCCTTCTGAGCATGCTCACTGGGGCTCCTGGGCATGCTCAGTTGGGCCAGGCACGAAAATCCTTCTAGAAGAGCTTGCTGGGGGCCGGCAGATCCAGCGCAGGCGCACTAGATCCCATTGGTGTGAATGCACAGATGACCACTCGAAGATCACCAGTTACTGGTAAGCAACCTGTTTTTCTGTAGGGTGCTCCTTGATCCACCTGAGGGTGACCCTTGGTTTGAAGACTAGTGTTCTCTTGGTTATCCCTACCCAGGTTCTGTGGGTACTCCCTTAGAATCAAATGTTCCCTTCAATAATGACCACTTTATGGACCCAATATATAGGTTGTTGGCTGACGTAAGTATCTTATGGGTGTGTGTGTGAAAGTGTGTGTATGTGTGTGTGTGTGTTTATTTCCAATTTTTCTTTTAAAAATAACAAATGCTGTCAACAAATATAGACACAGCGTAGCATTCAGTGTACCGTTCAGGCAAGAATAAAAGAACATGAAAGACAATGCAGACTTGGCCAACCTGAAAAATCAGCCGTGGCTGAACATAACCTAACTCAAACAGGACATAGTATTTTGTTCCAAGACACTGAAAGGCTGGACAACACAGACCTTCTCAGCAGGGGTCTTACTCAGCATCACAAATGGGAGCTGGGTTGGACGTACCTTTGCCCACTCTTTCAGAAATGGGACAGTCCGAAGATAGACATATTCGCCTCCAGAAAGAACGCAAAGTGTCCTTTCTTTGGGGGGGGGGGGGGGGGGGGGAGCAGACCCTCTCTCTCTCTAGGAGACGGTCTCCTCTACCCGTAGGGAGAGACACTCCTCTGTATGTTTCCTCCTCTGCCCCTCCTCTTATGAGTAGTTCAGAAACTAGCCAGAGTCAGGCCAAACTGTATCCTAGTGGCTCCATGGTGGCCCAGGCAACCGTGGTTCACTACTCTTCTCCGATTCACGAGGGGCGGGTACCACCACTTCCCCAGATCTTCCCCACTTCTCCCTATCACGAAAAACACATCACTTCTTTACGTTGGAGTGGACAATCGGAAACTGACAGCTTGGTGGATAAGTCGATAACCTTCTCTGATCGTGTCTCGGAGGTCCTTATCAACACTAGAAAGGCGTCCCCTCGTCTTTCCTATCAGAGGAAGTAGGTTCCTTTCATACTTGCAGATTCCAATTACTTCACTGAGGTCTGTGAGACTGGATAAGATCCTCGAGTTCCTCCTGTCGCTCGCTGATCAGGGCTTTTGCCACTCGTCTATCAGGGTCTATCTGGCAGCCATTTCTGCCTACCACATAGGACTGGACAGTTATTCGATATTCGCACATCCCATTTCAAAGAAGTTCCTTCGATGGCTCATGCGGTTGTATCCCTCTGTGAGGGCTCCGATACTGTTGGGGGATTTACCCTTGGTGCTCTGCCACCTCACGATAAAGCTGTTCGAACCTATGGCTTCCTGCAACCTTCAATACGTGGCATGGAAAACTGTGTTCTTGGTGGCAATCACATTGGCCAGGAGGGTCAGCGAACTGATGGCACTACGCCAGGATCCTCCATACTTAGTCTTCCTGCCACATGGGGTACGTCTGCTGCCGGACGTCTCCTTTCTACCAAAGATAGTGTCGGAATTTCATTTGAACTCCGAAATCTTCCTGCCTGACT